CCCGCCCCCGCCCCTTTGGCAACCACCCCACTGCCTTTTGTGTCCACGAGTTTCAGTTTTATATCCCACATAGGAGTGAAATTTTATGGTTCTTAGCTTTTCCTGTCTGACTTATTTCACTTGGCATACTATCCTCAAGGCCCATCCATGTTGTTAGGAATGCACAGTCCTTTTAATGGGACTCAATCTGTGCCTCACCTTCTTTGACTTCATGTGATCATGTTAACTATATGAGTTCCACCTGAAATTCACCCTAGGATTTTGGAAACTTTATGCAGCTTTTAGTACCCAGTGTGTTAGATAAGTTGACTTAAAAAACAACAAAACAACCTTGAGCAGAGATGCAAGGTTTTTTTTTAAGGTATCTTTTTAACGCTCTTATAAATAACCTTATGTGCATTGAAATATGTTGAATAGCTGAATATTGGTCTTGTGGCCTCCTTTTTATCAGTGTAAAAGCACATTGATTGATTTTTCAATAAAATCAAAAGGAATTTTGTAAAGGAAGAAAAAATAAAACAGGGCATGTTAAATATTAACAACCAAACTTTTATCTGCCAAAATTTTTACATGTATTACATTTATTAAATGTCACAAATAAAATGTATGCAATTATGACATATATGTTAAGAATGTTTATCTTTAAACAGTTTGAAGAATGGCGATTTGTCCTTTCTGGAGTAGGACTATTTCCCCAGCCTCTAGAAATAGAAAGAATCACCACATACCTTCAGCAGTTAGCATCTACGGCTATAACTTTCAAAAATCCCACCAAGGAAAATGTTTTAATCGATATCATACTAACAAGTAAGTTGTTTTTCTTATTTTACCTGTTATTTTGTGACTATTAATCAAATGTATTTTATCATAGAATCAATGCATTATAGAGGTAGTGGACGTTAGAGATCCATTAGCTCAACAGCATCGCTTTATAACAGAGAAAACGTAAGGCATGAAACACGAGGTATCTTGGCTGAAATCACAGGATGTAAATGGTGGAGCCACAATAAAAAATTAGATATCTGTGTAAAAAGTCAAGTTTTTCTAATTTTATCTGTAAAGCAAAAAATGGAGATTAGTAGATTTGTAAGATTCTTATGATTATTATTCAAATATGCCAATGCTTAGTCCTTAAAAGTTTACAGAAATTCTAGTGTTCTGATATTGTTTCCTTTCCCCATTTTCTTTATAAATAGCATTATTTGGATTAAATCTTGGTTGTAATCAAGCTTGTTCTTTTTTTCCCTGTCAGATTGAAGATGCGTTTTTTTAAATGTTTTTTTATCTTTATTGTTGAGACAATTACAAATATCCCCCTCCACCCCACATCCGTCCCACCCCCAGGCCCTCCCCACGCCAATGTCCATGTCCATGGGCCGTGCCCATAAACATACAAGTTCCCTGATTAATCTCTCCCCACCCACACCCCCCTCCCCGCCTTCCCTCTGAGATCCCTCAGTTTGTTCCAAGCTTCTGTGTTACTGGATCCACTTTGTTCATCAGTTTATTTTGTTCATTAGATTCCACATATGAGCGAGATCATGTGGTACTTGTCTTTCTCTGACTGGCTTATTTCACTTAGCATAATACTCTCTAGTTCCCTCCATGCTGTGCCAAAGGCCAAAAGGCCCTTCCTCTTTACAGCTGCATAGTATTCCATGGTGTGAATGTCCCACAGCTTTTTTATCCACTCATCTACTGATGGGCACTTGGGCTGTTTCCAGATCTCAGCTATTGTAAACTGCGCTGCTATGAACATAGGGGTGCATAAGTTCTTTGGGACTGGTATTTGGGGTTCCTTGGGATATATTCCTAGAAGGAGGATCACTAGCTCAAATGGCAGGTCAAATTTTAATCTGAGGAAACCCCATACTGCTTTCCATAGTGGCTGCCCCAGTCTCCTTTCCCACCAGCAGTGCACTAGGGTCCCCTTTCTCCACACCCTCGCCAGCACCTGTTGTTTGTTGATTTGTTGATGGAGCCATTCTGACAGGGGTGAGGTGATACCTCATTGTGGTTTTAATTTGCATCTCTCTGATGATCAGCAATGTTGAGCATTTCTTCATATGTCTCTTGGCCATCTGCATGTCCTCTTTGGAGAAGTGTCTATTTAGGCCCTTTGCCCATTTTTTAATTGGATTGTTTGTCTTCCTTTTGTTAAGTTGTATGAGTTCCTTATATATTTTGGAAATTAAGCCTTTATCCAATGTGTTGTTCGCAAATATGTTCTCCCATACAGTGGGCTCCCTTTT